TATGACCTAACTTTTCATCTTATCTTCATGTTCGAAATACTAATTGACTATTATACTAAAAATTGCTCCAAAGACAAAAGCACCTGAAGAATGTAACAGAGAATACAACTTACTTATAGATGATGGTCTAACACTAAAATACCCAATTTTATTATCAGTTCCCTTCAATTACTTAAAAAATGGCCAACACCTCTGATAAAGGAAATTATTTTATCTAAGTTTAGGGGATTTTGATGAAATTTCTGTTGGTTTGATATCAGTCAGTAAGAGACAATAAGGAATAATTATTTATACTCAAAGTTCTTATGGTCAGTAAGCATGGCTTCAGTTAGTGTAAAGTTAGTGTTAATTTTCTGATGTAATATCTTCAGTTGGTTCTGCTTTAGGTGACATGATATACTTAATCCCTATGATTGAGGTAGAAACCAAAACCATAAAGTAAAATTAGAACATTACATGTAGGTGGGTAAGTAAAGTGGAGCTTTAAGCATATAATGAAGGTAGTATATCACTAAGCAAAGAGCTTGTATACAGGAACTGGATTTTGCTGTATGGCAGACCAAAGATTCTACATCTTATGCAATACAATCATATTTTCCTTTACAATTTTTTCCAGGTTAGGTTTTAATTTGCCTATTTATGTGTTCGAGATACTCTTTCACATTAATAGTAAACATTTTAACATCACCCCACTTCAGATCTCAGTGCTCTTTCATACACTGTACCTCTAACTCATAAAATGAATAACACTGTTTAACTAACATTAATCAATATGCTATCAGGTAAATGCATTCTTAATTATCATAAAGATTAGAAGAGTATCTCCTGCAAGTGTTTAAGTAGCAAAACCAATAGGATAATAACTTTAATACTTAGTCATGTTTCCTAAGGTGCTTAAGCTTGGCTGAATACAATGGTATGGGACTGTTTTAGTTGGTTTGGACTTTGTCTATTGGTAATAATTAAGAAAGATATAAATGTCATAGTGTAACATTCTGGGCAATCTTATACTGACATCAGTGATGCAGACAAGTATATGTGGCAAGTAAAAACCAGTATATTTCTTAAATAGCTGTATAAACAATGTTCTTAGATACTTGGTAAGATGGATTAATTTTCTGGGTCACTTGTGTGCTCCATCATCTGTAGGAGCTCAGAATGACCTCATAACCAGTAAGCATGACTTAAGTTAGTGCATTTTTTTTTAACTATGTGTTTTCTGGTACTTTATCACTTCTTATGTGAAAGTAATTTTGTTATATCTTCAACTACTTAAGCATATAACTAAATATTATAGAACACAGATGGACATTATGTGGCAGAACCATATTTCTTTCAGCATGATAATGCTTAATACTGCATAAAACAAAAAGCCCAATAACCCAAGTACTTTCAGATAGTAAACCTTCATTCCTTACGAGTGAATCAGCATGAAAACAATTTTTCTCTTGTTTTGTGATTTAAAAAAAAAATATCTTTAATGATTTCTTAGAATCATATTGCACAGTTTTCCAACCAATGGTTTAAGTCAAATAACATTCTAAGTCTGTTACAAGTAGTCAAAAGCCTCAACCTGAATGCAGATATGGTGATCCTAAAAAGAAGGCCCTGAAATCTCACTATGCTTGGAGCTGCTTTTCAAGAGGATAAGTGGTCTGTTCTATTATGACTGTTGGAGGAAATAACTAGTATCAAGGTCCAAGCTGTGATTACTTCCAAAAACATATGTAACAACAGTGTATCATCCAAATAATTTTGATAATTCAGTGTATATTCTCCATGCTACTGATCAATACATTGATCAACATTTTGAAGTATCTGCCAAGTACAAAATGTCAAAGTTCATATTCCCCACCATCAATTATCAGTCATTTTGCTTTAAATATGTAAATAATCTAGCTTACTTCAAAATACTTTTTAACTAATCTAGGCTGAGTAGGTTTTTAGAAACATTTGAAAATCTAAGCACTTTACTTAGTTTCCATTTCTTGAATTTTTGGCTATATTAAGAATCTCTTCACGTGATAACTTTCCAAACTGTGTTTTGCATCATTACTAATACTTCAAAGTTTGAACATAAATGTAATAAACATGGTTTCCACATAAAAGCCAGCCAAAACATCATTAAAACACTAAGATGCTCTTATGGCATAAACTACAGTATTATGGCATATAAATATGGCCACCAAGAAACCAGTGGTTTTGTCTAAAATACTCTATAATATATCCATGCCCATGATATACACAACTTTACTGAACATGAGCCCTCTCAAACATGGAAAAGGCAAAACTACTAGGTATTAATGGGTTTGTATATATTCAGTTTTGTGCTTGTGTTGTATGACAGATTAATATAATTGATGTTAACTTCATGGGAAAACTGTTCATTGTTTTTTTGCCAAAGCATTATTTATGAAGAAGAAATGATACTCGGTGAATATATGATAGCACTTAATTTTTACTAAGAACCTATCATCCCTTAGTTTATGGGCAAGCCTTGGTTGAAAGCTTTATATGATGCCTCATCAAATGGTTTGATCACTTCCTAATAAAGCAGCCATAAAGAAAATTTAAATATGATTGTATAAAACAAGGATTAAACTATCATGTATCAATTGAGTAAATATATATAGATTTAAGAGTTTTTTTAATAGTTTCTGTAAATGTTTTTTTTTAATTGTGAATTGTGAAAGTATTTGTGTGTTAAATTATATCTGTTTGAAAGGTACAGAAACTGTCTTCACCAAGAAAACATCAAATAATTTAATATAAGGTAGGTAAGCATATACACTTTAGAGAGAGGTTGAATGGGTAACAAAGGAAGCTTTATTAAAAGTTTAACAAGTAACAAATGTACAATGTTTGGAGAAGGTTTTGTCATCATTAGGTTTAAGCAGTTCACAATACACAGGAACATCTATACAGTACGAAACAAAAAAGTCACATGACTGGAGATTGCCTACAGCTTAATAAAGGTATTTTCTTGATGTTTGGTTCTTTGTTGAAGTGTTTTTATTTTTAATAAATATACTATGGTTTCATTATGTTGCAACATTTGTAAATGATGTCTTTTTTATTATGTTCATCAAATAAAATAAATTTTTTATCAAATCATTTATGTTAACTGTTTAGTGACTATAGTAGCTATTGCAAAATACTTTGATGACTCGAATGTTCACTGAATATCATTTTTGTGTTTATCCTATTCAAACAACATATATATAAATAAAAACATTATTACTCCTTATTGTGAGAGTAAAACATGTTTTTATTATTTAATTATCAGTTTGTTTGATTTATGGAAGATCAGTGTAGGATTCCTGCACATTAGAAAACAAATGGTGATCATCAGGTGTTGGTATTTAGTCAATATTAATGAATTATCTAACAAGTAGAAAATGTTCATAAAATTTTAGGAAAATATTTTTTTGACAAAAAAAATGTTTTTCACAGATGTGCAAATGGCAACCTCCAGAAGTGGTCTATCACATAAAATCATAGGGAATTCAAAAATTATTTAAAAAAACAATAAACAAATCAATGTAAAATAAAACGGGAAAATTAATACCATGTTAAAATAATGAAGTGGTTTTGTTATTTGTAGGGGGCATGGTGTACTAACTGAATGTAATCGATTAATGAGTCTAACAATTAATCGATTAACAAATACCATTAATCACCCAGCTGTAATGAGTACCCGTATAAGTGCAATATTAATTGTGTGTTATAGCATCTTATGATTATTCCCCCTGGTTAATAGATTTGTTATATGGATAATATTCAGGTATATTATGATTTGCATAAAAATTTACACTTAATATATAAAAAACAAGCATATCCTGTTCCACATTAAAGCTGAACATTATAAAGTCCTGATACGCTGCCCTATAAAAAAATTTAAGTTATATAAAGCATTATTAATGTACAAGATATATAGAAAACAAGTAGGTTGGACCAATAAAGTAACAAATATATCACCAGATTCACAAACTTTCAGTTCTATTTGTAATAAATTCTACTTTCTTCTAATGAATCAAAATTTCTTCCAAAAAGTAAGGAAGCATGATAAGAACAAAGTTAAAAAAGGAGGAAAAAAAAGCCAGCAGTAAAATGGCTGTCCTCCTTCCCCACAACTGCTACTTTTTGAGTTTTTAAATATTAATGAATGTGGTGTATTGCGTGGTTATGTTTACTTTTGAGCAGAAATAAAATTTCCTTTTTAATGGTGACCTTGACTTTCAAACCTAAATATCAATAGGGTTCTTCCTCATCCCCGAGAAAAGTTACCTGTGAAGTTTGATTAAAATCTGCTATTAGAACTCTAGTTACCGTGGAAAGTATATGTCTATATATAAACCGACAATGTCATCACTATATCCTCTTGAACCTCTTTGGCTGGGAAATGAAAAACAAATTAAAAACAATGTTATGGATAAATGATTTTGGTGGAGTTGGGGAAAGCCAGAAATGGTGAGCTGAGATGGGAAATATAAATTATAAAACCCTCTTGAACCTCTTTGGCTGGGGAATGAAAAACAAATTAAAAACAATGTCATGGATAAATAATTTTGGTGGAGTTGGGGAAAGCCAGAAATGGTGAGCTGAGATAGGAAATATAAATTATAAAATCCAAGATTGACTCTACAATGTAAGGCTGCTAAAGCATGGTGGGAAATTCCTCACATCCTTACAGGAGAAACTAAGCTCAAGATTTACTTTTAAGTTGGCTTTGAAAGATAGTACTATTAATCCAATATTCACAAGTAGACAATTGTACAATTAACCTCAAATAACAAATGATTAATTTTTTTAAACTTTCTGAAAGCATACTTTTATAATATTAATTACTCCCCAAACAAGAAACTTAGTTAAATCCATTATAATATCTATTAAAGTTATTCTAATTTCTTAACTACTATCATTCATTGGCATATAAATTCATTTAGGTTAAAAAATTAAACCTTGTAAGGGTCTTTTTTGGCATTCTGAGTAAAACTTACCAATGTTGGCAAGGTGACTAGCAATAGTGCTGAAAGCCCCACTTTTAAGAGACAAGAAAAACTCAGGCAGACCAAAACTTCTTGTATTCTGTGGATGGGCTGGAACTAAAAGGGTGCACAAGGATTGGAAAATACAGAAAACAAAAGACAGAGAATGGGGAAACAAAAATATTAACGAGACAAAGATAAACGTAAAAAAAAGAAGACAAAAAGCTGATTTGTGGGGTATAAATTTATATAGAGACAATACTTTACCTTTTGCAATGAAAAGAGTTAAGTGCAAATTTATCTAATATATACTGTCTCACACTTACTCCATCTAATACATACTCTTATGCTTTAATTCTTGTAATAGCATTCATAGAATACCTATCAAGAATGAAACATGTTGAAACATCCATCAATCACAGAATGATGATGGTATAACTCTAATATATCTTATTTCAAATCATCAAAACTGTGTTAGCTGCTACGCTATCTTATGTTAAGTGCATGGAAGAGACTCAGAAAAATAGTAACAAGTTACATAGTATTGTACATTCTAAATTATTCATAAGAAAGAAAGAGGCCACCTACAGTCAATTCGTTTCCTGAGCACACACCAAGCCAAGGCTGTGCAAGTATGATGTTATGAGGAGGCAAGAAAAACAGGAGACAAACAGAAGTTAGTAAGCTGTAACAGGAATATGGTTACACACAGGGACAAACAAAGATTATACTTAGCCACTTTAAAATCACTACAAACAAACTGATTTACAATACAATTTTATCAACATTTTCTATTCAAGATTACAGATAATTTATACTTTTTAAGATATTTCATAAAATAAAAATTTTATTCACACAATTATTTATATAGATGGCATCAAGCAAAGATTAGCATTATTATGCTGAATATATTAAAAAATTTACAGACATGATATATATGTTATGTAATATTTTACAACAAAAATCTGTAAAAAAGAAAGCTCACTTTTAAATATAAAACATTTCAATTTAAATCAATCTTTTTTTTAACATTCCAGCAAAAGTAAAATGTAACTGAAGGTAACTTAACATGTGTCCAAATAAAGGGTGTTAAAAAAAATGGAATGGATGCAGTTGTGTTTTCTGTGGTTCAAATGCAAGGATTGAGAAAGTTCCTTTCTTTTACAAGAATTAAAATGAATTTTTCAAATGCAGGTTATAAAAGAAATTTAGATGTGCCATTTACTTAACAATTTGATAGCTAGAAAATTTGAGCAAAGATTTAGGTATTGTATGATGTATTTGGTCAATGAAAAACTGCTGACAAATTTTTAAAATGTACTAAAAATTGATTTGCCCAGAGGCAAAAATTACAGGGACAGAACAGGGTACCTGTTACCCACTTAAAAAAAAACATTTGACTTTGTCCAGTGAGAAATAAAACTGGTTGTCTAAAGCTGTTAAACAGACTGATATTTGTTACATATATTTAACTGTAACAAATATAACATCTAAGATTATGAAGACTAACACTGTTTATTTAAATATATTTATTATGCCATCACCCCCCAACCATTTTGGTCTCACGTGTGTGATAATAATTACATTTTTACAATAAATATTAAAATAAGAGGTACCTCTAAAAGTTACTCAACATGCTTTTCATAGTTATGTCATATGATTTCAAATAATTTTTAGGTCAGCAAAATGAAAACAAATTCAAAGTTCTTGACAGAAAATAAATTCTGAAACAGAGAAGTCTAAAATGACAAATATTAAAATTATTCCACCATTAATATTGAATTCTCACAAAGCAAGCTACATACATAAATCATAACTACAAATCAACACAATAATGAGTATAACTAATCAAATATACTGTTCTTACATCCTTACTTTTAATGATTAGAATGCATTGTTCCAGCTGTTGGGTACCCTCGCTGCAGCAATATTGATCAGAGTAAAAGGACGAGTGCCATTAAGGGCCTATAGCATCACAAAAACATAAAATGAGGAAGAAATATAGTTTCAACAGTTGGCCATTTTGAACAGTTATTTGTCATAACAAATAGGAAAAGGTCATGGGAATGTTGTTACCACGATGATATGCTCTAAAACTGTACATCTAACATGACAGATACAGAGAAGACATGATCTGACTTAAATATGGTGAAGCGTGGTACAAAATATTAGATGTATTCACATTAGAGAAGGTGCACTGCTTCACTCATAAAAGGCTCAGTAACATTACAGGTCTGGATTGGTGCTGAACAGCAACCATGTCTGGAAATAGCTTGTCTGACCCTACATAAAACAGAGGAAGTCGTATCTATTTCCTTGTGATAGAATCACAGATCCAGTACTGTTTGCTTATCTGGCAATTGAGACTAAAATACGCTCTATAGGATAGCACCTTTCACATAGACAGAATATGAAAGTGCAAGACATTTACACTGCTGTAAACATACCATAACTACATTTGCATTCCCAGAGGGAGTTGTTGAATGCTATAAAGGGATTTACAGAATGTTGTAGAGTAGGAGGGATATAGCAATTGTAATCTAAGGCAAAAACATGAATTCAGACTTGACGTAACATATATATATATAGAAAGAAAGAGAAAAAAAGGACTCAAGTGTTCACATGTTACATCTCCAATATGTGCACAGACAAGATAATACTCTCACAGCTTTAGTAATGCTAACTATCACCATTTCACTAGTCCTATAAGCCATTCATGTGACTGAAGAATACTTCCAACAACCATACACCTTGAAAGCGCCTTGCACTACTGTAAAGCAAAACTAAGAAAGAGCTATAAAGATACTACATAGAACATTTCACAATAACACTTTCACGACAGCTACCTCTTTAAATACTTTACAGTGCAAGTAACAGTGTTACATTCAAAGTTTACTTAAACAACTTTACTACCAATGTATGTGAATGAAATTTACATTATATGTATGTTATGATTCAATGTTTTATGTCATCTAAGTTTTAAATTCCTATATTTCAAAAGAAACCTTTAAAAAAATACTTAAACTTCAAGTTGTGTTGTTACATGACCCACGAGCTATGAAAAATATCAAATTTTATACTATCTATCTATCTATCTTGACTCAGATAATGCCAGTCCTGTAGATGTACCTCTACAACTTGACATACTGACACGTAAATTTCAAAGTCCTCTAGTTCAATAGAGTAGAAACAAGTAATAAATTTTGTCAACCCGACAGCTACCATGCCCACCTTCTATACTTTTACTTGAACTTTATAACCTAGATGTAGTTGCTATATATATATACATGTTTATAGTCATCGGAAAAAACTAATTTTATGCTACAAGTCTACAATGGTTATTTTAAAATTGGCACACAGTTGTCACTACGTGGTACATTTAACTGCTTGTAGTATTGTTGGCTACTTGATCTCTAATAGCACTTTTTCTTAGCTAAATATGTTATTGTTAGAAAAACAGTTAAATTGTATTTAGGTCTTACTTTTACAACTTAGTTAATTGTGTATTATCTACGTTTTAAGATGTATAATTGAAAGGTTTAAACATGTTTTAAATTTACACCCTACTTTGCATCAGTTCTCAAGGCTTAAGATCTTGTGCTCGGAGAAGATAATTTTGATGAAGGCTTATGCATCTCTATTGAAGGTACTGTAATTACACCCTGAAGACACTGTTGACTTGTGCCAAAATGAGTAATAAAAGGTAATAAACCGGAAACGAAAATAAAACATTAAAAATTAAGTATATGTGAAAAGGAAAAGACCTGAAATTATGAATATAAGCAAAAGATCTTTTAAAATATTCTATAACAGATTAAAAGGTATGTACATTTTTTTTAATATTTCTTAATTTTAAACATTTCATTCCACTGTATGTTGTTGATAATAGCTACAGTTAGTGATATGTTAGAGAAAATTAATAAAAACATTTACCATAAAAAACTTTTGATATTCATTTCACAGGTTCTAGAGGTTAGGCAAATTAAATATGAAAACTATAATATGAAGAAAAGTATTTTTATACTTAAAATGAAGATCCCCTTAATAGTTCGAGTGCAAATAACTACAATAGTTAAATAACATATTTTTAGTAGAAAAAATTAAAATAACGTCATTCTTTGTGTACAAGATATTTATCATCTTTAACAAAATCTTACCAGTTTTTTGTGAGGATATTTTAAGAAGACTCACAGTTACAGTATGTACTGCTGCACAAGTGAAATTCATATATGGTTCCCTGCAAAGTGCCCATTGCGAAAGGGTTAATAGTGCCACCTTGGTTATAAAAGTAGACAGGAGCGCCAGACAGAGCTATATAGACAACTTGTGTCACAGTACCTTGAATTTCAACACTTATGAAGGGAGGCCTTAGTTTCAAATTGTACATGACCAATTACTCAGAAGTTAGTTGCAAATGGTCAGGAAATAGCTGACCTTGTTGACTGTATGTGTACCTACAGCAATGAGTTTCCAAACAGAAGTTTATGTAATCACACACACAGATTTTCAATGGAACCAATAGATCTTGGTGCATTCTAAGGATCTTCAAGCCCCATGCTGCTGATGAAAAGAACAATGATGTTTCCAATCTGAGAAGTATGTTACCATCAAACATAAAACAACTTAAGGAATGGCTTCAAAAGGAAGATTTATTTGTTGTTTTAGGTTCCTACAAGAGCATAGATTTCTTGTGGGAAATAGGTTTCAGAACTAAAATGTTAGATTATCTAAAGAACAGCATCCGACATAGGAAACAAACCATCCCAGAATAGTGACCAAGGTAAGAAAAGTTGTTCAATCTTACCTGAACTGAAAAACTAAAAAATAAAGTGCTTTAGGTAAACTCATACCTAACATGCATATTTTTTAAATTAGAGCCAATAATAATTTGATGCAAATCAAACTATAATTATAGTATGCGACGTCAAAGGTATACTCCTTGTGGATCACCTAGTATGCAGCATGTAAAACCAAATCACTCAGGGGCATGAACAGTGGAATGCCACTCTTGTTTCATCAGTTTTATGGCACCTAAGATTTCATCATCATCCAGCTACATTCATGCCTCTTCCAATTACACACATATACTTCATATATTTAATAAGAGCTGGGATTCTATAGTGAGAAAAGTTATGTACAAGACTTTATGATAATATCATACATTCATTAGCACAGAGCAGATTACATGAAACTAAGTGAAGAGTGAGGCACGTGACTTAATACTAATACCATAGATTCATTAGACTGCTGGGCCGATTATACGATTACACTTGCACATTTTTATCCAAAACTGGCATGTGCCGTTTCAGCCCCTTAATGACATCCATTTTTTTCATGCAAAACAGTAAAATTGAAAATTTATCTTTAACGTTACTATATGCAAAATTCTAATAAACTAACATCTACAAGAGCCTTTTTTTGTCTTCTTGTTTCCTGAAAAAACACAAGCTGGTGGAATTGAGTAGCAATTTTAGTTCAAAGCTGCTAATATTTACAAGAAAGAACTTTTCTAAGATCATTACTTTCTGAATCCATGTGACCAGATTATCATTTGGGTATACAAGCTTTTATCTATATTATATATACAGGCAAACGTATTTCAAATATAACAACTAAAACTAAGTATATTAGCAAAATAAAACCCTATTGTTTGTAATTATCATTCATTTTTAAATAAGTGGCAAAATAGTGATAATTCTGAAACTAAATAACCAAATCTATTAGCTCAATATAATCTTACCAGGTGTAAGGAAATTTGGATCAATGGGTTTTCCTGAACTTTTACACTCTTCTACTTCAAGGTAGCTAAGTAGATGGGACCACAAAGCTGATTTACCCTAGAAAAAAGCAGATTTATGAAATTCTTTATTTAAAAAAAAATTATGTGAGGATTTAATTAGTTATATTTTTCTAGTGTGAGAAAGATAATCTGTAACCAAAAATAACTGAAATGCTTAACAGTAGCTGCATGTCAACCATTTACATAAACTGTAACTCCAAAAACGCACATAGTATGTCTTTAAAAACTTTTTTACTAACCTATAAGTTACATTGTGGCTTAACTCTCTCAACACTGGCTCTGTCAATTTGACCGACCACTTGACCTCTTTGTACTCGTTTAAAGTACAAAGAAAGATTTAATACTTATAACTTTCAATATAGTTTGTATATCTTCACAAAAGTTGGCAGTCTTTCAGTTAATATTATGTCTTTCACATCCAAAAAATCATATTTTTTAGTGAAGTATCTTTAATAAAATAAAAATTTCTCAATGAATATATTGAGTATTTGCTTTGAATAGTCTGTGGAAAAGTAATTTTCGTGTTAATATTAAAAATATTTTTTTCTCATGTCAAAAAATCTCATTTCCTTTTTGTAATCCCAAAAACCTCCTAAATGTATTTCAAACGTTT